GGGGGGGGCCCCTACTACTACTACTACTACTACTACTACTACTACTACACTGCCACTGCTACTGCAGACTCTTCGATCGACTCGAGGCCTTGGGAGCCCCTGAACCTTTATCTGAGCCCTCGGATACCCAGCGACCGCGCGGCCCTGCTGGCCGAGCGTCTAAGCGCCGATCCCAAGGCCGGTCTGTGCGGTGCGTGAGATCCCTCTTCGGCGTCTCTTTGTGCCCTTTGTCTCTCTCCCCATCTGCCTGAGTTATATCCCATTCATATCGAGCTTCGGGTTGCGATCGATCCTTGCAGTCACTCCCTTCATGGTAAACCCCAAAAGAGAGCCCAAGAGCCGCGAGCTCGACGTCGCCCCCCCCCCTCCCCCCGAAGCCCTGAGCGCCCGTCCGCAGCTCCGCATCGTGGACTCGGAGGCCGCCGGGGAGCCGGGAGCTGACGCTTTTTCTCTCACGGTTTCTGTTTGTAGAAAGACCGGTAGAAAGCATGGTTGATCTTCATTCAAAGACTGAGAACACCGGAGTAGCTGTGTCTGGGCATGGTGCATGTTCGTCCGTCGCTATGGTCCGCGATCGCTCGGGTGATGTGCTGCGAGTGTGTTGTCTTTCGGGGGTTTGGCATTGAAGGTCTGGAGGAAGGTGCTATAGGGTTTTCTCGGAGATGAAAGTCAACATTCAACGTGCCGGAGCAGGCTTCAACTCGGGATATCGCTTCTGCACATGGCAGCGCAGGACGGTGCTCTTCTTGTGCTCCCAAGCTTCGAGTTCGAGGTGCCCTTCTGGATGCAAGTTGCTGCCGCCGTTGGCTGTAAATTTGGGAGATGCCGCGACAGGAACTTTCCGCACTCCAGAAGCGTGGCAAGCGGGTGGTCGGCCTGCCTTTGGCGCGGGTCTCGAACATCACTCTTGCACCTCAACGGAGCTGGTCTTCACATGCTGAAATGTTGTGAAGGTGGAGCGGTTCTTAAAGGACCGGAGCTTGATGGAAAAGGCCTGGATTTGCAACAAAATCCTGCTCGAATGACAGAAGCCCCTACGGTAGGTCATGGAGCTGCCTCTCTTCGACCTACTCTACCGGTCTGAGAAGGGGCTTTGCTTTTCAGCTACTTGGGCCTCAAAAGCCTGCCGTGCTCCGAGGCGGAACTTCGTCATCTCGTGACCTGTTAGGGCAGTGCCTCCACGGAAGGAAGTTCTCGAAAGTTACTTCGCTAGTCATAGTCTTTGATTGAAGTATCGCCTGTATCGCTCGTATGTGGATTCATCTCGCTACGTGTCATTTTTGTCCATGAAGGTAGACCTGTTGTAACACTACGACTGGCGGTTCTTCGTATCTTGAGCAGGTGTGATGTGACACAGAGAGAGAGAGAGAGAGAGAAACACCGTAGCCATTTTGGCTCAAGCCGCGAGTGGTTCAAGGAGGAGTGGCCTCTCTGCCCCCTCTCTCCCTCTCTCTTCTTACTGAGGTCCACTCCGTCCTCAACCCGGGGGCCTGACCCGTCTTTAGGTCTCGTCTTTCTTCTGAAGCGATTGCTGGACACCGAGAACAAATACTTTGCGCTCCTCGTGCACGACGCTTCTGCTGCGAAGCTCGGTGTGCAACGCAGCACGAGGGTGACCACTGCTGATTCCTGCTCTTTCGGGTGATTGTGCCCAGATACCGGTAGGTGATCGGCGAGCCTACTCATAGCACTGCCGCCGGGGAACCTTCTCCGTAAGTTCGACACTGGACGGGGGAGTATCTCATCTTCAAGTTCGTGACTTGGGCAGCGTGATCGTGAATAATATCCGTGCCTGCGCTGGTCAACTGGGTGACCCGGGGGAAACCCTAACCCAGCCAAAGTCTCCTCACACTACTGGGAAACAGCCTTTGACAACGAGCTCTACAGCGGGGAGCCCCGCCGACGACTCTCTCCACACCCCTGGAAAGCCTGCAGCCATGACTACACCGGGGAATGACACCAAGTGCCTCAGATGCAAAAAGGGGAGCTCATACCATGGAGGCCACACCCGTGCCGATCCACAATGCATCCTACACGGCTGTCTTCGCGAAGATGCAAAAGGAATTCAAGAGTTCCTGCGCCAGAAGAAGATCGACGCTGCCATTCGTGACTCGGCTTACCAGGAGGACCGTCCCTTGCCTGCACCCCAGCCTCGTGAAGCTGAGCCGGGGGACCACCCCAAGCCGCAAAAGCTGTGCCTTAGATGCATAAAAGGGGAGAAGAGTCATCATAGACATGAACCGATGGCGGATAACTGCATCCTCTTTGGGGTGGAAAATCCGACGCCTGCGAAAGCTCGGGAGCTGCTTCTCCAGCAGGACATCCAAATGGCGCGGGATGAGGCCCGCACTGCTGCTGCTCTGAGCTCTACTACGTCAACGTC